GGTATCATTTTAATTCTGCAGAAATAATTTGCAACTCATAAACAATTTGCAACTCAAAAAACCTAGTACAGTATTCTTCTGTGTGTGTGTTTACAGTATTGTTTGCAGTGTCTCAGCTTTGTGCAAATTTGTAGTTTTCAAGAACTGTAAAAACATATAATGTCCAATAACTTCGTACGTGTTAATGAGAACTTTATTCATTCCTCAGGGAAATAATTTACCTGCATTACAAAGATTTCCCTGATGCTGTTGTAGCAAACTACTATTGAAATGAAGTAGGATTAAGAAAAAACCCCAACCTTAATCTTTTCTTTAGCTTGAGTATCAGCTTTTGCACTCCCACATAAGGAGAGGCGGGCACTGAGTACAGCAAGTCATAATCAGCTTTGGATTTGTTGCTGCTAGGAACACTTCCTGCACTTGCTAATGCCAGTGATCTGACAGCTGATGTCCTGGTTTAAACTGTGCTGGTGCAGAAGTATTATTACTACTATGGGTAACAATTCTGCTCTTAGTGGTTTGCTAGAAGCAGTTGATGTGGCTGCTTATTCATCTGTTTTGGGCTAAATCCCACCAATAAACCAAGTTTGCTGTTTCATATGTTATTGGGCTGTGTGCCCAAATTAAGAGATTCCAAGGTCTTGCTCTTGTGCTGCAGTTAATTCGTTATTTTCCCATTGCCCCATCAACTGTGAGGTGGTTCTATAAAATGGATCCCTGGAATTACCTCGATTTAAAAAAAAAAAACAAACCCAACAAAAACCAAAACCAAACCACATGTTAATTGACAGTTTGAAAGCTGGGGGTGCGCAAGGGTCTTCTGCACCATTTTGCTGTTGTGGTTAGCACCACAAAGTCAGGTTGCATTTTAAGTAGATGAACTTCTTGAGAGACTGTGGTTTTTTTTTTTTTTTCCGCCCTATTAATTTATTGTATAGTTACATATATGGAAACGTTCAAGTTACCTACATGCAATGTAATTGAAGTGAAGTGGCTACTCTGTAGATGTTTTGAAGAAATACATATTTACTTTCCACCTTCTTGTGTTGAAATAGCTTGAACCTGATTTTCTGGACCCAGGCAGAAATGACTGGACTGTGCTTCTTAATCTGGATAAAATCACTTTTTGAAGCATTTTCCATTCATAGTTTTTTTGTCTGTTAAATGTAGTAGTATTCTGTTTGACTACTGAACATTATTGGACTGAATTTTTTGTTCAAATGTGTACGTGTGGGTTACTAGATGACTGATAGCGTAGCATTCCAACATGGCTGTTTTTCTAAGTGTTAAATTTAGAGAAAGTTACCAGAAAATTGCCTAAGGACTATAATGTTTCTGTTGCTGCATTTTTTCCTTTGAGGTGCAGGACGATGACAGTATTATGACTTTTATTTTCTTAAGGTAGTTTATTTTTGGAAAAATGGAGGGGTATGTTTAAGGTACATGACATTCATCTAGGAATAGGAACAGTTTGCATAAAAAACAGTTGAAGTACTTAAAATCTGCATAGATGTGCACTTGCAAGACTATATTTCAAATTCAAGTGGAATAAGAAGGCAGCCGTAAATGCAATACAAAATGTCTTTAAAAATACTCTGTAGGTGTGTTTCTGTAACATGTTGCATTTTTTCAAAAGAGCATTGTTGCCAGTTTTTTGAAACAAATTTATTTTCTAGCTGTCCAGCTATGAAAGCCAGATAGTGAAATTACGGTCAGAAATGGAGAAAGGAGAGGTTGTTCGACAAAGCCTGGAGTATGAATTGGCAATTGCCAGAAAAGATGCTCGTCTGAAAAAGAATGCTGCAGAAGAGGAGTTAAGTGATGCAAAAAGCAAACTTGTGGAACTGCAAGGTACGTTTCAAAAAAGCAAACACGGAACAAAGGCTAAGTCAGTTTCAAGTCAGGAAGACAAATGAGCAGCAGTGACTTAATTACATTTTCTCGTTATTGCTGGATTTTTGGATCTCTTTTATCTTTCCCATCTCTCATCCATCTGCTTTTGTAAATTCATACGAATACAAAACTCTTGCTCTTTCATGTGTGAATTAAAACTAACCTGCTAAACCTATTGGCCCCTTTTCCTCTTGCCCTTTACCTTCCGTTGTTCCCTCTTTCACTGCTGTCCTTGTACTGAATTGTAATCATGGTGGCTGTCTCCACATCCTGGTTGTCACTATGTCCAGCAGTTCTTCCTTTTCCATTTCAGGGGCAAAAAAGAAAAGAAAAAGTTTATTCCTGTTCATTTGTTTGCACTACTTCCAACAACTTTTTTCCAGATGTTCTCATCATATTGCTTGCTTCTCTCTCTCGCTTCCCCCTTTCTCTGTCTTGCCTGCGCCCCCCCCCTTCCTCTCTCCCTTTCAAAGGTTTCAAGCTTTTCATTGCTTGTGTCAGTTTTTTTTTTCTTCTCATCAGCCTTGTTTCTCTTTTTATAGGTAATGGAACATGTATGTTATGACAGTAGTATGTGGAAGGGAAGGTTTTTACCTAGACATTTTTTTCCTACTAGTTTTGTATTCAGAAACTCAGATTTCCTTGATCCTCCTCAACAGAGAGATATTTCTCATTCTTACAAGTAAGTGAGGTGCATTTTAAATTACCTATGTAAGTATAATACCTTTTTAATCTAGTAAAGGAGATGCATTTGTGAGTTTGCTGAACCTTTGATACTCCTTGAAGAGTTTAGAGCGTTCCTCATAGAGATTTTATCCTTCCAAGAATGGAAGGAGACTTGGAAACTTGCAAATACTTAAAGTACCAGGTGTTTTTAAGATAATTAGAAAGCTGAACTTTTCACTCCTTTGGAGGACACACACACAAAAAAAAAATCTTACGGATTGCAAACTGGAAAGGGCATTCTTTACCCTTTGGAAATTCCCCTGGGATTGCAAGCTGAAGATTTGAACTGCCAGTTTCTCACTTAAAGAAAAGCTGTGCTTCTTTATGTGCATGGTTGTTATACTTCTAGTTTGCTTTCCAGTTTAGAAGTGGTTAGTGTGTGTGTGTATTTTAAAATACTTTACATCTCATCTTGTGATTCACTTTATGATTTAGAAAACTCGTTGGTTGCTGCATGGGGCACAGCTGGCAGGTGGTGGTGGTGGGTGCAGGTCTGCAGGGCAACTTGTGGGGGAAAAAAGCCATCTGGGTCTGCTCGGAGCTGGTCCTGGCTAGCTCCACAACGTGCAAACCCACGCACCACTGCATGCCAAAATCCCCACCAGAGAATGCATGGTGCCTCTGCCAAAATGTGTTTCAGAAAGGGTGGTTAAATGCTGAGAGGAAGAGATAAAGAAGAGGATAAACAGCAGGAGAGACAGGAGCAGAGCGGCAGCCTGAGCAGGGGCTGGGGACAAAGTAGTGATCTCCCATGCAGGCACCAAGAGGCAGGACTCAAAAGGCACTGTTGCTGATGGAGGAACCACAGCACAGTTACCCCAGCCTGCTGTGCTGCCTGTCACCTCCCTGAAGGGACTAGGCTAACGTGGTGAGGAGACTGGAGAACAAGAAGGGAGTCGGAGAGGTTTTGCAGAGGCAAGGGATGTTTTCCTAAATGTGTGTGTTAGTTTCTTTCAGTACCAGAATCAGTAATTAGAAGTCTGTTAACTGACAGTAAATTACAGTAGTTGAAATTCCTCAAGCTGTTTTTTTTTTCTGTGACAGGTTCCAAAGAAGTACAATCATCGTGGTGTTGCATTTGCAACTCAATTCTTTTGCAGTTTATAACTTACCGCTTGTTTTCCCTGGACACCTGGAGTCTTCCTCGCCTCATATGGTGCTTGGGTGTGACCCCATCTTAGGTCCTTGGACAGAAGGCCTCATTTGTGGCTTGTCCTCTTCAGTATTTCCTCCAAATTGTTTTTATGCTGTTCTCAGTGAGGCTTGGCTTCCTGCTGTCTGACAGTCCTTTCCCATCATTGTGTCCACTGATTCTCTATATTGTCTTCATGTGCTGCTTCTGTTCATGTTATCCTTCTCTGACTGGGAAGAAATTTCAGAGTACTGGTGAATTTGAAATAAAAATCTTAGAAAATGGCGATCACTTAAATACCAGTGTATCTACCTGTACTGAGCAAAATGAAAAGCTGATTCAAACTACTTTCATCTGAAAATCAGTTTGTAAAATAAAGTTCCTGGTCAAACTACTTAAATAAGCATAGATAACGAAGGCTGCCATGGTGTTTAAGCTTTCACAGAAGAGTATGTACAACATTCTCCTATCTCAGGGCATTTGATGTGTTCAAGATTTACATCTCTTGAGCTGCAGTAAGTTTTCTTGGAAAAGCTAAGCCTTTGTTCGCTAACCCAACCTGCCTTAGGTTTTCCTATAGTCACTTTCATGGGGCAGGTGCCTGCTGTTACTGTCACTTAAAATGAGCTCAAAAATAATAGATACAAACTAGTATCTATATATCAAATAGACATTTGGAAATAAGCAGGCCAAATGTTGTAGAAATCTGAAATAAAGTCCTCCATGCTATAGATACCTCACTTATCTTGAGTTTTTATTCTTTTCTAAGAAGAGAAGTGTTTAAGTCTCTAAAGCATTACTGTGTCCTTGGGTGAAAGATGCTATAGGATCACAAATTTGATTGTTTCTTTGTAGTGAAGGTGATGCTCTCCTGTGCTGGAAGTGTTAATGTTCCAATGTTCCACAGAATATCACAATCTATGATTCTATGATCATTACACATTTTTTCTGAACATGCTTTGCAGTGCAACTTGTCATCTTTCTTTCTCTTTTTCTGTAAACAATAGTGTTGAATGAAAAACTTCAGCAGAAAGTGGCAGAGACTGAGAAAACGTTTCATATTGCTCAGCAGAAGTGGAAAGAACAACAGCAAAGGCTTGCAAGTGAGAAGGATGATGTCCGCAGAACTTGCAGTGGTGAATACGAATTGCTTCTTAAGGAAAAAAACAAACTAGAAAGTGTTTTGCAGGTATGACGTATTACTACTTGGCAAGTTGTATGAGATGATGGCTGGAACTTTTTTTGTGGTGCAGTGTGTGGTAGGTTGGGTTTTTTCTGGTTTAGGGAAAAATCTGTTAAATGGTTAAATGCTGCAGAATATTTCTGAAGAATATAGCTTTATAAAGTTACATGTAATGTGTCACAGACTTTTTTGCTTTGATGGAATGTGTTGTGGCTGATATTCATGGTAAACACCTAAATCAAGTTACCAGTGCACAATGGTAGTGAGGCCCATTTGCAGTGTCATGCAAAGCTGAGTTAGTGAAATCAGTGACACCCAACACCTAGCTTCTGACTCCATTTCCCTCTTACCTCCCCCAGTCTGACATCTAATAGCCTGTGAACATGAAAATCATTTCTATAATATGGACACTATGTATTGTCAGGGAACCCAAACAATGATGGTGGGATTTCCAGATCTGCATTTGTACATTACTCACTCCATACTACATATGAAAAATTGGTGGAAATTCTGCTGTTTGGTTTGAAAAAGAATTGTTTAATCCTAAGAGATGACCTTATAATCTGTTTTAGACTATGTGGTTTTATTGTTTAGATGTTAATTTCATTGTATTTCATGAAAAAAGTACTTTTCAAAGTTGAGTTGCACTAGTATGCATAAATGCCTTAGATGTTAAATGTGTAAAAAAAAAACCCTCTTTTTTACACTTTTTAGTACAGTCAAGCTATTCAAAACTGAATTATGTTTCAAAGAAATCTAGTAGTATGGTGTGGAAGTGCTGAGTTAACATAGTCGACTTTTATCTGCTCCACAGGGACACAACTAATTACACAACTATAATTTCACTCTCTTTAATGGAATTACCTTATATGTTAGCACTGTAATAATAGCATCTGAGGAAAATCAAGAATGTATTCAACTATAGTTATCCTTGATGCTTTTAAAGAAGTATAGTGCAGCGGGTCTGTTAAGGCTGATAGTCATTTACTCATATGCATGACATACGCAAAGAACAGATTGCTACTAAGCGATTCACTTCCTTTTATTAGGTGAGACTTTTTTAATATTCCTATTTTCTTCTTTTATAGCTCCCTTTAAGATGTGGCAGACTTGTCCCAGTTGGTCTGGGCCTAAGTTAAGCAGTAGAAAATTAGGCCTGCTTTCTTCCTGCTTGGTCAGCTCCAAGCCTGGGACATTGCCAGACAGTCTTCCCAAATGACACAAAACAATCCTTGGCAGTTTGATAGCCAAGTTCTGACAGCAAACCTACCTGTTGTACTATGTTATGGTTCTGTTGGTCCCATTCTACACAGAACCTGCAGGAGCAGCTCTTAAAAAAATCAGGGCAGAGAGAATCCCTTCATTATATGTATTCCAAAAGTACTGTCTACTGACTTCAGCTGTTTGTTTGAAGGTAAGATCTGGAAAGAAAGGTGCAATAATGAGGCCTGACGTAGAAATCGAGTAGTATGCAGATATGTAGTGTTTCTGTGTATGGGTGGCAAAAGGAGTTTGTTGTCTTGTTATCTTAATGACCAGGAGCCCTGATGGTGGAGAAGGATCCCACTGAACTGGCTTTTCTCTGAATGAAGGACAAAAAGGAAGTTCCTGCCTCTCCGCTCACCCTAGTAATTTTGTGGATATGTTGAATGGTGTTTTGAAGGAACAGTTAGGAGAACCATAAATGGTTAAAAAAAAGAGAAAGCCACGGGAAGAGAACATTTCAGAGAAAAACTGATGAGTTGATTGACAGGTGATAACCTAAGGTCCTTCTCAAACCAACAGAAACATGATTCCGTTTTCATTCAAAGTTGATGCTTAAAAAAAGTACCATTAGGTACAGGCTATGAAGAAACCAGTTACATAGATACACTGTACTTTTTTTAAGTTGCCATGTAGGCTCTGAGTTCTGGCTAACAATAGGCTGAGTTAGGTTGAGGAGGCTTTGGAATGGACTTGTCTTCTATGCAGTGTTTTGTAGAAGCCACATTCAGTGAGTTTATTTAATACTGTATAAAAAGAGCAATGTTGGGGAGGTACACTCTCTCAAGTGATGTTTGGCCTCAGATCAAAAGGAGCAGCGTCTTTGTCAGTGGATGTATATTCAAAAGTAAAGGTGATCTGCAGAGGCAGGTGTTTTCTTGGTAGATGTATTAAAGCTAGAAAATGGTTAACTGCTAAGGTAAATGTGATTCACCACCACCTGTCAACTCCTAACCTCCTGTCAACTCCTAACCTGCTTTCAGTAGTAAAAATATTCTATTTTCCCCCTTCGCTTTTGCAGCTGTTCCCCTGCCCAATGCCCTAGTTACAGGTTTTATGTATAGTTATATAATACCAGCAAATTAAAAATACATAAATAAATGTTAAATATGGACTCGACAGCCTTAGTTGTTGCTTGAAAGCTTAATTGATTTTAACTTGGCAGATAAATGTCAGAAGGATCTGAGTTTACAAATTACAACTTCACAAGTGTTCCAGTCTTTTGCATTGTGTATTTACAGGCCTGTTTTAAATACTTTTATAGTTATTCTGAGTTATGAAATGAAAGCTAGATAAAGTGGATTTAATTTTGGTCTTAATACATACACAAGAAATGAGATTCTAAGCATGTATGCAAATCCTGGTTGCAAAAGCTGCACTTCACTGAATTTGGCTATAAAAGTGCTGAGGTAGGCACGGAAATGAAGTCAGCTTAACCTATTGAAATGTATGTGTAAGATACAGAGGGAAAGTAATCCTCTCTGCTTTCTAACAGGTTTGTAGTGCGCTCTGTTGGGTGTGCTTAGCGTGCCATCCACTTCATAATAAAAGATGTTAGAGTTCAATAGTAAGTGCAATAGCATCACCTTGTGGTTACTCAGAATATGATATTCCTTCACAGAAGCACTCTGTTTTTCCTTAGACTACTTGTGAAATTGTGTTGTTTATACACACTTGTTTAAAAAAAATCGGCCATGTTTTTAATGAAAAAGCAGATATATATACACACTAAGTGTGTGTATGACATGCAGGTGTATATGTATGTATATATATATATTTTTTTTTTTTTAACATGGTGAAATATGTTTCTTGTTGATCCTTCTAAGTGCAGGTAACTGCTGGGATAGTCTTGCACAGTTTCATACCAAGTCTGAAAAGTTCAGAGACTTCTTTAAGATTCTGAAATCCTACAACTCATATTGACTTGTATAAGAAGCTTGATGTATTCATGTCAATCATTTGTCAATGATTAATGTTAACTACATTTCCGGTATAAAATGTTTTTACGTCTTGATGTAGTATTTTGCAGCAAACTATGTATGACGTATTTCATGTGCATTTTTCCCGCTCACTTTTGTTAATGTCTGGAAGATATACCTGAAGAGATAAATATCTCTGTATCTTTCCAGTGGGGAGAGAATGGGAGTAGTTGTATATTTCTATAAAAATGATTAAAAGGGTTTTTTTTAGGATGCTGATGGGAAGAAACCTGTGCATTGGCTTGACATTAAAGGCGAAGTTAGGGGATTGGCTTAAATTTATTCCATACCCAGGTATACTATTTTTGCAATATTTTGCATTTATTTGTAAAAATATTTGCAATATTTTGATTTACTGAGGTTCCATTTTTTTTCTTTCATGTGTGTTTCACATGCATGCTCCTTCTTATCTTTTTAGAAGATGCCAAAAAATTATACCATAGTGCCTGTGCATGAAAAAAGAGGGGAGAATAAACGTAATTTTTTCAGTTACTAATTAGTAGCACTTAGCACTGCAGAAGACTGATGATTCCCTTATTGTCATGTTTGAGTGGCCAAAACTTTCTACCTTCAGTCTGGAGGAGATCATAAAAATCTTTTCCAAACTTTGGAAAAGCCTTGTATTTCTTTGATCTTCATGTACAAACATGGTTCTGTCAGACTGCAGTCTTCCCAAGAATCATTCTATATGAATAATTCATTTTCTCCTCCTCCTCCTCCCGGCTCTGCAGTTGTCTTATGATTAGTGATTTCTAGGAACAAAATTATGTGATGTAAGGGTAATACCAGATTTTGGAGGCCAACTGGTTTATTTTCACAAAAACTCTCTTGCCCTGATATTGAAAGGAGTAAATGAACAGGAGGACTTACTGTAATCTTTCCGTGTTTTGCACAGAAAGTAATTTTAACAAATTGGGTCTCCAAAGGTCCTCCAACTAAATCACTGGATTTATAGCTTGTTTCTGATGCTAGTTACGGAAAAGCTTATTCCTGTCCACTAGACCAAAGCTGTTCTTTTTGAGACTTCTGGGATCTCTTGCTTAAGTATTACGCTAGACTACTGGGGGTTCATTATTTGGCTACTTTCCTCTGAGTCTGATGCGGTGTGAATGTGGATTTTGTAACAGTGACCCTGCAGAGCTGCTGAGCCCAGTAGTGTTAGTAATTATCCCAGCCTGTAGCTTTCGTTCAACTTCTGAACACAGAAATTGAAGTGGGGAACAGCTGGGTTATTTTATTCTACTGAGGATTTTGTAGTTCATGTAGGTAATTTTCTAAAGTAATTCAGTTTCTAGACAGAAGACAGTCTTTCTCAGAATAGCAGAAATGAAGATTATTTAGTCTATGGGAGTAATTATTTCTAAAAAATGTCTGGTTTGATTTCAAGTTCTAACAGTTATAACCAGAACAAAAGAGAATTTTTGTCCCTATGTATCATTTCGTCAAATGCACTTAACCATTTCTCTCTCCATCATTGCCACTGATCTGGGAGAGAGAAGAGATTGGAAGAGCAACCTTGTACTCCTTAGAGAGTAAGATTTTCTGTGGTGAGCTGGCTCTGATTTTGGTATTACTGCAGAAAGTCATGTTCATAGTGATTTTTGAAGCAATGCATTTTACTTAGTGGTCAATGAAGAGCATGTCTGCTATTGGGCAAATGGTTCTGTTGACATGTTCTAACATGTTAGATTTTAATAACCTGTTCTAATGCAGTCTCCATTCACAAAGTATTCATCTTTTGAACTCTTTACTATAATACTTTATCTTAGTAAAAGTATCTCTTAATGCTTTATTTTTTCTAGGAGCAGAATAATGCACTGCAAAATATACGCAAGAAAATGAGAGATGTGGAAGTGGAACACAATGGCTGTACTGAGCAGCTGAGGCGCCAGGCCAATGAGCTTGAATACAGCGCTGAACGAGAGGAGCGACTTAAAAAAGAACTTGAAGTAAGGCTTTTTGGCTGTTGCTATTAGTCTGAACAAGTGCTGACACGCTAAGCAATTTCATTCTTGAGGGATGGAACCTCCCACTTACACTGTGAATTCTATGTACTGGATTAACAAAATGTTGAACATCTGTTTTGCAGAAAAGGCTGAACAGCTGAGTGCCACTTACACTGTGTGCCTGACTTTAGACTGGTGTTTGAACAGCAGATGGGGAAAGGTTTATGTAAGCCTGAAAACCAGGTTAACTTCACTTTAGGAATTCTGTACATTTTCCATAATCTCTTAATTTGTCTATCTTCCTATCTTTTTGGCTTAAGAACCGATTTTGAGAATTAGTGAATTTGCAATGGAGAACCTAAGTAAGTCAGCAGATGTTGTGCTAGGTAGGTAGCACAATATCTTCCATAGCACTGGAAGATCCCAGTGGCGTTATGGCAACTTCTTCCTATTTAGACTTAAAAGCTACAGGTAGTTTTAGTTTGCCTGTCTGTTGTGCGATGCCCATTGCTGAGAAGTCTCAAGTTTTTAAGACTAATATCTTGCAAATGTGCTCCTTTTACTAAACGGCTAGTTCTCTCCTGAGTTTCAACATTTTGTCTGTCCACTGATAGACTTGTAGTAACTATGTTATCTGTACATACTGTGCCAGTCTGGACCAAGACTTTCTTGGTAGAGTATTTGTTACTGCAGAAAAGCATAGTGACCAGATGATTCTTTAGCCTCATGTAAGTTTTCTACCGAAGACATGTTAAATATTTTCTGCAACAAATTTTAAAGAACTGGCACTTGCAGGATACTGCGAGCACTTAAAGGAATAAGTGACATACAGTTTTCAGCTGTGTTTGTTCTCTGTTATTTTTCCCTTAAAGGCAAAAGAATTTAAAAGTTTAAAGCATTGATTGCTAGGTAGGTAGAGTGCTGCATTAAAGATGAAGTACAAAAGAAAATTCCTACAGGGAAGATCAAAGCTCATCAACTAAAAACACTGACTTATTGACCAACAACGTAGACTTTGTGCCCTCAAAGAGATCTACAGGAAATCTATTGTCAGGTACTGTGAGCTGCACATACTGGCCTAGGCAGAATTATCTTCAGTTGGAAAGTGCTGTGTACAGTGAAGTTCCAACAGACCTTTTAAAAACAAAGATTTTTTCTTCCAAGTTCTTGAACAAGGGCTTTTTTTGTGACTCCATGGCTCTTGATATATTAACATAGGAATCATGAGCTAAAAGGAAGAGGAGCAAGCAGGAAATTATTTATCTTTCTAAATATTTTGGTTGGGATCACCATCTGTAAATTTGAAAAGGAAGCACTTAGTTCCTTGAAAAAGTGTAACTGCTATGCCCTGGAGATGGTTTTATCGGGGAATGCTGTCTATTTACCACAATTCTCAAAGATACTTTAATTGCTGCTTAATTTTTATTAAATTCTTTTAACTTACTGAATTTCTTAATAGTGTCGTGAGAAAACAACATAGATTACAGAAAAATCAGTCTTATGGTACTTGTTCTAAGTATAGCTATTTAAGCTATAAATTAAGGAAAGATGTGATGAGACCTCTTGCATTTGAAAGTTTAAGCAAATTAGCACAAGTCCCTGTGAATTTAAAAAAAAAGGTCCATGATGGCCTGCAATGCATATGCTTTAGTCAGCTTGCAGCTCACTTTATCATCTCAAAAGTAAATTGTATGTATGTAAATGTCTTGAAAGGGCCTACCGTAATAACTTACCCATTCTATTCTTAAGGTCAAAGAGAGATGACTGATGAGCATTTCTGAAAATACCTTTATTCTAGCACTAGACATTTTAAGCTGTCTATGTTGATTACTGTAGGCTTCATACTGGAGGGTGGACTTAAAACTCCAGAGTTTGTGACGACAGCATCATCTGTGAGCATCATCTGTGTCCTATAAGTTACCAGTACTCTGCATCGCTGTTTGTGGAGCAAAATTTGTTCTGCCTTTTCTACAGTCCTGAAAGGCTGCAGGGGTTCTAAAGTTCAAAATTCAGGTTAACAAAATCTATTTTAAGTTGCTCACTAAACCATAATCCACTCCCCAGAAAATTATATACTCAGGAACAGTTTAGTATTAACAGAGTTTGAAATCTAATTTCAACCTGTCTTTTATTTATACGTTTGTCATTCCTCTCCCTGTCTTACCTTCTGGAGCTCAGTTAGGCAGAGGTACTATCTGTCCTTCATGCTGAAACAGAGTGGAAAGACCTCGAGTAAAGGGACCAGATAAGCTGTTTTCCGCCTCTGTAGCTCAGTTATTGGAACTTTGGTCTTGAAGGCTGTGAGGGAGGGAAATAGGGAAGTGTTCAAGGACAGACTTGTTGCATAAAGGAGAGGAAATAAGCACAATATTCCTTTCTAATTGTGTTTGGAAGAAAGGACTATGCCCATTTAAAAGGGCATGCTGCATTCACAAGTAGAAAGAAGTGCTTCTGCGAAGCTGGGAGGTTGTTAGGATTTAAACACATTGCTGTCAGTAGAATTTCCTCCTCTCTGCCATAAGAGCTGCCTCACTAGCATGCTAGCTTCTGTGGATCACATTCTCAGCTGCCAAATTCTTCCCATACATTGTGGAAGAGTCATTCACAAAGGGCAGTAAAGCCTAGGCAGTAGTTTTTGCTATGTGCCAATATGCCAAAGTCTCCTTGTGTTTCTTCCCATCTGGTATTGCTCTCGCATAGTTCTGTGGTGTTCTAGCTGTTAATTCCCAATTTATGGGAATAAGCATTACCCATGTTAGAAGTATGTTCTGATAACCAGTTCTGTACTTCCAGCTGTGGTTAAATACAACTCTTATTTTGCCTATGATGTCAGTATTTGAGATGGATTTCCATTCAGATATAGTAGCCTTAAAGTAGTAAACTGCGACAGGATGGTAATCATAAAATAGCTCTATATTTCTTTATCTCTCTTCATGGAATTTTTAGCTTATAGCTTGAAATTTGTTTTTTTTGTGGGAAGATGGACACAGGAGACATGTCTTATTTCAATTTTCATACAGAGTACCTTGTGTTAATGGGCATTTGGTTAGAAAATTGTATAGAAAATTGTACTTAAGTTCTTGATAATAGCACTGAACTTCTTAAGGTGATTTGTGTGAAGAGTAGTGTAAGTCTAATTAAAAGGCAATCTTATAACCTTCTGTTATACACTACTTGATATGCAATGAGAATGAACTTTTTTTGGAGTTCACAAAGCTGTTCCTTTACTACCCTCTGCTGGACATAAAGGAGAAGTCCATGGGAAAATTATTTGTGTTTCAGTAATGATAGGAAATGGTAAATTTAGAATCTTTTTGTATGATAGCACCCTTATGAAGAGTTATAGCTAATAGACAATATTATAAAGGAAGGTGAAAAAAGTCTGCCCTCCCCCCCTTTAAAAATATTAGTGTGGTTTTGTCCTTCAGTATTATTCTGAACATGGCCTAAAAGAGGATGCTTCTAGTTTCTGGAATTAGAAATGAAGAGAAAGAGTAACAGCAAGTTTTTGTGGACTCTTCAGTTGAAAGCTAGCTGTTGGTACAGTGTCTAACCTACTAGCTTTCTGGTTTGCAGTGATACCGATGTGGTGTACCACTGCAGGGGCATGGAGTCCTCCTGAAGTGGAACACATAGTGTACCAGAAAAATGTAGATTGGAAACCCTATTATCATTATGCCTCTTTTGCCTATGATTGAGTAGTCAATCAAATTCTTGATGTGTTCGTTTTGAACTCATCAAGATACTACTGTTTATGGTAATCAGTTTCCTAGAACTAGTGTGTTTTCTTTTAGCCTTTAGCTCCATTGCTTTGGAAAGATGATTTCTTGGGAAATATAGGGCAATTTGTATATAAAAATACTGTTTCTTGTGATGTGTCTAGCTGCCAAAAAGCTGTGTGGGAAAGCTGTTTGACAAACAGTGGAGGAAAGGGGAATGTGGATTTTACCATGAGAAACAGAATTATTAGTTCATAGATTGAAAATCTTTGTCTTGTTCACAGAAATGTAGTGATTTTCTATTGTTCATGTGTTTGAGGCTGCCAACTCTTAGTAAGCTGGAGCTCAAGGTCTCTCAAAGTATTTAAGCCTTTCTCATGAGGCCTGAAAAATGTCCCATAACTGGGTCCCTATTTCTGAGACTGACTCTGTTGCCGTATTTCTGAGACTTTGAGACATTTGAAGACCATTCCCTTAGCTTTCATGTTGCCTTTCCCACTTGCCTCCCTGTAAGTATATTGACCTTTTTATGTCCTGCTAAATGTGTCATCTTGTATTAGCTTGGTAATGCTACTGTGGTGGGGAGGTGGCTGCACAGGATACTTCAGTGATGGTCCAGCTCTGTATTTGCAGAAGGTATATGTACATGCAATAGTTTAAGGCTGTGGATGTATTAATTTTCTTAGTGTATCCAAGTCACTGAAACATGAAATTTAGGTCCCAGCTAAAACCAAAACAAAATGCCACAAACCTGGGGACTGGCTGTCTTTTATTCCTTGTTCCTAATTTCACTATGAACTGCAGTGTTAGGTAAGTTATACTGCTCATAAGAAAGACTTGAAAAAGCTCCAAGTAGTGTGAGAGAGGACACATTCCTCAGCCAGTTAACGGTGCTACTGATTAAACTTTTAACTACTGTTTGTCTTCTGTGACTACACACTTCTTGATGGCTTACCCCTACTTAATGCTCTGCTTTCTAGCGTCTCTACAATGCACAACTGGCATCTCGGAATTCTAGCTACTGTCACGGTCTTGTATATCCTCTAAGCACTGCAGTTTTTGTAATGGTGTCTCTGTGGTGACTCCAAAATTCACGTTTCTCCAGTGACAAGCTCACTGACATAATGGACTTTGTCTCTGAGAGGAGCTTCCTCTTTATCATCTGCTATGTCATCATATTATTCCAGTCCTGTTCGAAGGCTGTTCACTCTTACCTTACTATCAGACTGAAGTTGTTTGAATACTGTCTTATGTAGCCCTCACCGGGAGTTAGTAAGAAGTTGC